CCCACACCCACACCCACACCCACACCCACACCCACACCCACCCTATTTTTAGAGCTTTATAGAGGCACTTTCGATGTTCATTTCGCATCTATTCAAAAATCGCTCCTAGAAGGCTAAAAATTTGGATTTGTAGGTTTTTTTGACATGCTCTTTCATTTGCAATGATAAAAAACATAGGTCAACAAATTTTGTATGGCATGAATTCTCGATCGAGCCGTGGACTGTCTCTTAACATTTTGTGCTATAAGTAATGTGGAAAAGACTATTTTTTTTCGATACTCGTATCTCAGGACAGGAGGAACCCAAAAATCCGAAACTTTCAGAATAAGCTAGTCTCATTGGGACCTTTCTCTGAGCAAAGTTTCGAGTGGAAAGTCGAAAATTGATTTTTCAGGTGAATCTGAGGAGGACCACGACTTTTTGCTTAAAAATGCCGTAAAAATTAAATATCTCGACAGAAATTAGCTAGGAGCACGAGTCCTTTTCAGGATATTCATACCTCATTAGAGCCTACATAATGCACATAGTCTTGCCTCAGTAGCGATTTGGCATCTGGGAATTGCTCTTGACCCCCGTTTTCTGTCCACTGTGTGGGGTGGGGTGTGGATGTGGGTGAAAGGAGAGGACACACCCACACCCTCAGTACTAAGTGATGCTTTGTAGCACATACGGGTAAAACTCAATTACAGATAAAATCTAATCACGCGGAACAAAATGAAATATCTACGTCAATATGGTTAACAATGCAAAGTTTTCAGAATGATCCTTGATAATTTGATGTTTAGATTTTATGTCGGGTTGAATTGTTGTGACCAGACCATTAATCCATTTCTCGGTTTGACCTCAAGACTTGTTAGCGACTGGGTTTATATTTTAGGCAAAATGCCCAGTGTAATCTTTGTAGGACCTACGTCACATAGGAAAATATGTGCTATCGCAAACCATAACTGCGAGACAGTCAAAAAGGATGTAGGCGTGCGAATGCCTATGGTAGTATACGTGCGTGTAGGTATGAGTGCGGGTGGAGCGTAGTGGATGTGGGTGTTTTCTTTTGTGTATTTCATGCGATCCACACCTACGCTCACACCCGATCGCTAGAATTTTTCCTTCTATCTTGTATGGATATTCCCAACATTGCGTGTTGTTCATCATCGTATATATAGCTGTGATTATCCTGTAATAAAGAGGATACCGAGTGATAGTGTGAAATCATCTTTGGTCAATAACATATTTAAGTCGGAAAGATACAACCTATCAAATAATCACTATATGATAGTTTTCAACTTTGTTTTGTTTAATTCTTAGAAAAAAACATTTGGAATAAAATCTCTAAAGAGACAATCAGAGAAAAACGGCAATAAGCCAGTGTATGTGATTGAAAAAAAAGAACAAAAACATCATTATTTTTTTTTATGTTCATAGAAGCATTGTTTGAAGAATATGTTAGTTTCTGTGCCACTAGCATAGTTACGGTTTCATTGAATCTTATTAATATGCAAATAAAATATTCATAAGAAGAAAAGTTGAAAAATATGAAATGCATTCATTTAAATTATATTTCTTACACACAACCAGCTGTATGAAAAAATATTCATCTATCAGAGTATCATTTGTTCGAAGACCAACTTCAAGTCAAGGAACATTAAAGGTAATCCCGTCGAGAAATAAAATTGACGTAGTCCTTTCATTGGTCTCTCTCTCTCTCTATCAGGTAACACCGACGAATGACCAACAACCGTATTCAAAACAGATAAAACAATGCATAGCAAAGGAGCAGGAGCAACCATCATCTACCCAGAGCCAGTCATCCCGTAGTCGGATCTTATCGAATACTTTAAGATCTCACCACAACCGGGTCAGACCTTCCCAGATCCCTTCAGAAATCAAGACCAACCGTGAGTATCTTGTAGAATTATGCACGGAATTACATTTAGATCCCTAGTGTTGGAATCTGATCTCATAGGTTCTGGTCGAAATCCTGTAGTTTCTATTTGGATTTAAAATCATCCGCTTGCGCGATTGCTGTATTTGCTTTTATCTAACCGTTCTTTAGAGATAAGCTTTTCTTGGACGTCAAAATAAACTCGAAAATTTCGAAAAATAATGGTGAATTCTAATTCCTGGAATTTACAGACCTGAGAAGGTGCTCCGTTCTAGAGGCATATATACGTATATCGAAGGACCTGTTTAATATGATACATCGGTCTCATAGTAAGATACAAATCTTTGTTTATGCTAGGCTACTTCTCAGTAACAATATAGTTCATAACCAATGATGGAGAATACTCTGAGAACCATCTCCTAACGAATGAAGAAAATCCTGCCCCAAACACTCAAATACATAGGTGGCAAACAGGCTGTCTACGATGATATACCAATCTGCCTACTCTATTATCACTTGTGACGGTCTATGTATAATGACGAATGATCATGAGCCATGAAGGTCCTTGAATCAGCATGCTGCTCATTTATTAAAACTCTCGAGTCTTTTCGTTTCGGTCATTAAAGGGGGAGGGAAACATTTTTGGAGAATCACGGTTTTTTAAAATAAAATTCGAATAAAAGGCTTTCGCGATCGAGGAATCTAAATTGATTTATTAGTTTTAAAATTTGTGAGTTTGTTTGTCGTGGTCAGAGATAGCCAATTCCCAATAAGTTGTGACAAGTCGTGCGTGAGATGAACTGAAAGATTTTTTGGCACTATAGCTGAGTATTCATGATTCATTATGTCCCGCAGGCTTATCGCCCGTTGGGGCCAACCACTGTTCGAATTAGTTTCTTCCATATCCGTCGGTCTTGTGCTTGGTGGGACAGATCTTGTCCGCTGCGTCCACACCATTCCATGATGTCGTCCAGCCATTCTCTACATGGACGTCCTCTTCGGAGTTTTCCCTCCATTTTCGCGAACACTGTGTGTTTGATCAGACTATTATCATCCATTTTACAGATATGGCCGAATAATCTCAGTTTCCTTTTCTTTATTATGTCTACTATGGTTTCCTCTTTCGATATCTTCTTCCTTATATCTTCATTGCGTACCATGTCTTTCCAACTAATTCTTAGAATCCGTCGGTAGCATTTCATCTCGAATGCGAGTAACTTCTTTTTGTCAACCTCTTTTACGGTCCATGTTTCTGAGGCGTATAACAGCTCGCTGAAGACGCATGTTATCAGAACCTTGAGCTTGTTCTTCGCTGTCAGTTTCTTGCCGTTGCATATGTGTTTGAAGGAAGCCATTGCTCCTGTTGTTTTACCTATTCTCATTCTGATTTCTTCTGAGCAATTGTTGTCCCATGTTAGTAGGCTTCCTAGGTATTCGAACTTTTCAACGTTTTCTATTGTTTTTCCTGCTATCTGTAGTACTTGTTCTATGTTTTTTCGATCTCCGAATACCATTGTCTTGGTTTTCGTTGTGTTCACAATGAGTTATGCTTTTTGGGCGGCTATTCTGGTCAGCTCGATTTGGTTTTGAAGGGAGCTACAGTCTTCGTCTATTAGGTCGATATCATCTGCAAATCTTAGGTTGTTTACGAGTATTCCACTGATGTTGATTCCATAGATGTTTTGTTTCATCTGGCCCATCACTCTTTCGAGGTATACGATGAAAAGTAGTGGTGACAGAGGATCTTCTTCTCTAGTTTCTACGTCTGTTTGGAACCACTCGCCGTGGTCTTTGGCAATTCGGACTGCTGATTGTGCATTCTCCTAAATCTTTTGTAGTAGAGTGACCATCTTTGTTTCTATACCGTACGATTTTAGCACAGCCCATATGATTTTGTGTTTGATTGTGCCGAATGCCTTTTGGAAGTCTATGAAACAGTTGTATATTTTCTTTTCTTGTCTTTTTGCCTTCTATACTATTAGCCTGAGCGTCAGGATTTGGTGAATAGTGCTTCTGTCTTTCCTAAGTCCTGCCTGTTTTTCGGAGAGGTGGGGCTCAAGTTGATTTTTGAGCCTGTTTAGCAGCACGGTTAGTAGTACTTTTTTTGTGTGGTTTATGAGAGAGATCGTTCGGTAGTTCGCGCATTCACTGAGATCTCCCTTCCTTGGTATTGATACTAGGATGGATATACCCCATTCTTCTGGAATCGTACCTTCGTGCCATGCTTTGTTACAGAGTTTGTGAATTGGATGTGCTAGCTGCTCTCCTCCAGCTTGTAGTATTTCCGTTGTGGTTCCGTCTGAACCCGAACTTTTGTTCCTTTTTAGTGCGCGTATTGCTTCTTGTACCTCGGAGCATAGTATGTCTTGAGGATCCTTGGTGTTCGTAGGTGTGATTTCCTCAAATTCTTTTACCATCGTATCTCCTCCTCCGTGGTCCTTGCATAGACTGCTGCAATACTCCGTTCATCTTTGTTTTATTTCTTCTTTCAACTGTAGCATTGTGCCGTCTTGGTCTCGTATCACGTTTATTCGAGGCGAGAACTTCCCCCGTAGCATTTTTATTAGGCTATATGCTTGCCTGATATTTTCAATTTTTAGGCCCTTTTCGACTTCGTCACATTGTTGCTGTATCCATTGTTCTTTGTCGTGTTGTGCTGCTTTCTTAACTTTCTTGCAGATGTCTTTGTATCATTGTGCGCTTTCCGTAGACGTGTCTTTTATCTGTTTCAATTTTTGTTTTTCGTCTGCTAGCTTTAATGTTTCTTCGAATATCCAAGGTTTTCGGTTTATTTTTCTAGCAGATATCGTTGCTTCTATTGCTTCTTTGATTGCTTCTCCTATTTTTGTTGCGTGCTCTTCTAGATTACTTGCTGATAGGATGTTTCCTATGTTTTTCGCTAGTTTATCACTGTAGGATTGTCTTACTTTCTCGTTGCTTAGTTAGCTCACGTCGACTCTCTGGCTTTGGTGTACTTTGTTGTACATCTTCTAGAGTCGCAAGTT